CGGCCCCTTCTGCAAGGCACATCGAGAATCGAAGGATAGTCTGTCAAAAGGCTGGAAATCTGACAACTGGAAAGATCTATAATTTTGTGTTACTCGGAGGAAATTCTGTTCTTTTGCAGAGGGAAATCGATTTCTTCTCCATTTTTCGGGACGTGAGATATACCATTGTAAGGGTTATTTTTCTTGTTTTCATTTGCGGTTCTCTCGCAAATGGATTTCCTATCTCCGATCATCCTTCTAACCTGGGCACTTCTCGTTTTGCAGGCTAGTTTAGCGAGGATATCAGTTCACCTATATGCTATACGCATAGATCTTGAAGTTGGAGGAAATCAGAATTGTTCCTTGACTAGGCCATTTTTTACCAGTGCTCTGCTGAGTTTTGTGCAAAACCCAAATCGTCATCCGTTGGCGGTCTCTGACAGTCCTCCATTGGGCTTCTCACCTCCGGGAATCCGATTGTGAGGAGAGTGGGTGCGTGCTCGAATCTCCCTGATTCTGGTTTCTTCTTACCTTGGGCTTCAATTAACTTGAGAAAATTTCTGAGGTTCTTAGTTCATTATGGAAATATAAGTCTCCTTGAAGATTGAAACATGCTTGTTTTGTGTTTTATTCATGGCAGCTATGGAGACGGAAGAGAGGAATCAGAGGGGTTATAAAGGCTCGGAGTCAGAAATTTTCTTGCAGTGGGGCAACAGAAAGCGGCTCCGTTGCGTGAGGGTGAAAGACCCTCGGGCATCAGCGCGATTAAACGGTGGAATCCGAAGGAAGATTTCATCGGCAGCAGATCGTTCAGGGATCACAGCTTCTGACAAAGAAAACACTCATTTCCAGCCCAATCGCTTCACAAGGTGAGAATAGCGGAGGGATCTTCTATTTTCTTTCTTCTTCTCATTCTCTAAACTCTGGTCGTTGGGAGACATTATGAAGGAAAATGAAATAACGAAGCTAAGGCAGGAAATTTTCCCCCTGTGCAGGAATTCAGATGGGTCTACGCTTCGGTCCACCGGCGTAGAGACTAGGAAATCGGCGTCACCGGAGAAGGAGGATCGGTACTATACCACGAGAGGGTCTGCGGCAGGCGAGGACAACGGTAAAGTTTCGGGGGACGGGAATAACGGGGAGGAGAGAGCGGCGGTGTGGCCAAAACTTTACATCGCGCTATCCAGTAAAGAGAAAGAAGAGGATTTTCTGGCCATGAAAGGCTGCAAACCCCCTCAGAGACCCAAGAAGAGGGCGAAGATGATTCAAAGAAGCTTACTTGTGAGTGTCATCTTTGTTTTGCCCCCACTCTTGTTCTTTTAAATTTGCTTCTTTCCCTTGTTTCTCTCTCTCCTTATTTTTTCTTGTTGTGATGGAGTTGTCTTGGTGAATGGTTGTGTGTGATTGGTGGATGCAGTTGGTGAGTCCTGGGGCGTGGCTGACTGATATGTGCCAGGAGAGATATGAAGTGAGGGAGAAGAAAAGCAACAAGAAGGTGGGCTGTTAATAATGTCCTAGACTTTTAATTGTAATTTGTGTGGGAATATTTATCGAGAGCGCTAATGGATGTGTTTTTGATGCACATGATGCAGAGACCGAGAGGATTGAAGGCCATGGGGAGCATGGAAAGCGATTCAGAATGATGCAGGCCCGTGAGCGCGAGGTGGGAAAATAGTCGGACATGACCACGCTGGATTATGATCAAATGTTTTTGATGATGTAACTTGTGATGCCTGTGCTGGTGATCTTGAAAACGTTCAAATATATATCAATGAATGAATGAAAATGAATTATATGAGGATTTCGGTAATTGTGTTATGGGTATGAATAAAGGGAGTGGATGATATGGGATATTGGGATATGATTAGTCGAGATGTATAGACTTATGGGTAGCAGAAGCAGGACAAGAAGATGCTACTAGTCTGTCTATATTGGAGGGTGGATTGGGATTTTTAGTTAAGTGCCCACTCCCTCACTCGCATCCCTGTTTTACCTTGGCGTTTTCAATTCAATAGCATCTCATTTGGGATGCTTTAATTTTTTTTTTTTTTAACCCATGGTGGTTGCCTCACGTGAAGCTTCATTATCCTGCGCTCAAAACAACTTTGAAATCTCACGTCAAGTGGGGTATGTTTCCGCACTCAAATTCTGTTGCTGTACTGCCGCATTCCTGAGTAATGGTCAAATCGGAATTGGTTTCTTTTTGCTACATTTCTAAGCGTTTGTAATTGCAGGGGTTTCTTGCACAACTGACATCGATCAAAATTAATCCATTCTTTGGATGACAGCACATCGGTTTAGTAATAAATAACAAAGCCAAAAGGTACCACTTTAAACATGATCTTCAGGGGCTTCTCCAATAGTTTCTAACTTCTCGATTCCTTTCCCAATTAGGTGATTGCTTTTTAAACACCATATATTGCATGCTGCTGATACATTTACAGGGTTCCTCCAGACAGAGGAACAAGTCCATGCTGCAGATAATCACAGAAGTGTCCTGGTCATTCAAGGGAAGATATCCAAACCGCACACAAGGATATGTGTTGGTCTTTTATTCTTATTATTAAATTCTAACTCATACGAGAAAACATGGCTAGCAAATAAGTAAGTATAATGACTTCACTAAAATCTACTGACCTTCAGGATCCCAAATCCCATGCGTCTTCTCGTCGGCTAGTTCCATTGTGACTACCTTCTGTCTCATGTTTTAGTTTAATCTAAAGAACTTCGCCTTGAAATTCCTTGTTGGCCCACGGAAACCTGCTTCGGCCATCTAACTGTTATTTATGTTATGCCTAACCCCGTCAACTTTTCTAGCGCCACTCAATCGCAGCGTCAATTATTTTGGCCCTCATCAGCGGCGGAGTTATCGGCTCGCGAGGCACTGTGCTTTACCCTACTTTAGTAGTTCATTTTTTAAATTAATTAAATCTGGTGTTTTCCTCTTGCTTGCGTAAGAGGAATATTGGGCTGGGTCTCACTTTTCTCCATTTCCGCCTCATTTCAGGACATTTTCTGAGACCTTATGCCGAGAAGCCGGCCAAAACTAGCCTGCCGCTTCGTCTTGGTGGCAGTAAAATCAGATTTACACGAACCCCTCGCGAGGCTTCTGTACTATTTTTACGACCCATGATGATGGCTATTCCTGCGATTCCAAGAGGAAGACAGAAATAATCTCGAATATTCCTTTATTGTTCGTCTTTCAAAATATTCCTTTTGAGCCCTAGTCTGTCTTATCAGCGCCAAGTCCATGGATAAAGAACCTCCGATCTCGGGACTCTGGAGGCAAATTAGCCGCAGTTTTCAACATCATCTGCGCACCGTTCGTAAAATTCCAGCGAACCTAAACTTTTTAAAAATCAATTATATTATATGCCTTAAACATACACTAGACTTGCCAATCCGTGAAATAACTTGTGAACCCTTTAAACAGAGTAGATCATGAGGTGCAAGACCTGTTGGAGTCGAAACAGTCAGGTCGTTCTAACAAAAGCATGAGCACAAGCCTCTGAGATTTCAAACGAAACAAGACTTTCGAGCCCAAAACTTGGGATGAAAGAGGGCGAAGCTGAAGATTTGCAGTGAACTCCGTGACGCTCCAGTATTTATATTTGAGAAAGTGATATGGTCCCTCAGAGCTCATCCGCTGCGCTGGCCCTAGACGACGTCACTATCAATGTTTCAAAATCAAGTCCGAAATATCTTCCTTCCCTAGAGGGATCAGGGTTAAATAATTGAGGGTGGCCATTTTTTTTTCGGTCCTTTACTCGCTTTCCTCAAAACCACCAAAATAAAAAAGAACATGTGTGTTTGTGTGCAATACTGTGTTATTCTTTCATTAAAATTAACTCCTAGCCTCCAAAATTTTCCCCACGTCTCTCTCTCTCTCTCTCTCTGAACGTTTAAAATTTAAGAAGAATGATAATTAAATATTTTATAAAAGATTAATATAAAATGAGGACCTTTAATCAACAGAAGTTGGCTATAATCAAAGAGGTTTGTTTTTTATAATGTGATAAATTAAAATTAAATTTTTTTAAAAAAAGGTGCTCACGTTTAATGTAAAACTATATCTCCAATATAATTACTTTTAATATAATTACATTTATTTGTTAATGAAACAAATGCGGACCTTCAACTTATAAATATAAGCATGTATGCCATATATGGTCCTCAAATATTTTAGATTTTTATGTACTAATGTTACTAAAAAAAAAGAATTTTATGTACTAATCATTTTTATTTTATACTGAGAAAGAAAACAAGAAAAAAAGGCCTTTCTGATTTTATTCCACATTCCCCTCGGCACAAGGAAGGAGTGTTGTTGTCAACAGTTAGATGTCCCAGTAATAATGTCAGTTCTAACCCAATATCGATACAGTTGTGTGTCAACGAGGGTGTGTATGTCTCTTTTTTTGTAAGGAAAGCCTAGGCTACGAGTAAAATTAAAAAAAAGGAAGGAGTATTGCAAGCTTTCCCTGAACCCACGAATTTGACTGAGCAGAAGAACCTTGCAGGCAAAGAGATAAGCCCAAGGAGTTGACATTACGTGCCATATTTAGCAGATGCGATGACATTGTAGCAGTCACAATAATTTATAATGTCTTTTAACATTCTCATTCCTCGGCACCAACTGGCAACTGCACTATTTAACCTGGAAAACTTCTCTACCTCCGTCACACATCCATGCCTGGAAAATAATGCATGCATTAAGTTCTTATTTATTTAATTAGTGAGCAAGCAGCACAGTTTCAAGAGCGAAATCTACTTTTCACAGCATGCTTCCCCGTTGATATGAAGATGAATTACCTCTGCTTTCTTTTGGAAATTTCTGATCTCACTCATGCCATGTTTACAGCAACGTTCAAGAATTTTATGCTCATGGCAGTCCAGGGTCCGGACTATCATGTCACTCAAATGTCTGCTCTCGAAAAGTGGAGAGAGAAGTAACAACTTGCTCAAGGTAAACATTGAACTGTGTTGCTATATTTCCTTCAATAACTTTGTTATAGAAACAAACTAACCACTTCAGTTCCCCGCTTAATATGGAACAAGCCACTGTGCTTTCCCGCATGACTAGACACGCCAATCTCAGGATAGCAAGCCTGTAGGTTGTGATATCATCAATCATCTTATCCACCTGTTTTTGTGGATAAGGAAGTATTTTCACATGATTGGAGTCCAGATACAGTGTATTAAAGCATTCCTTATAGATAAGGACGAAATGAAACATTATAGGCTTAATTAAAAGCAGGGGAAAATTTGGGCAGAGGATATCTAGCAAAGTCCTCGACCAAGATTCTTGTGTTTACTCTCTTAACACTAACTATATAATTGTTGCGTTAACAAGAATGATCGTCCTCAGATCTGAACTCGACCATCTTACGAAAAAACCATCCCACCATTCCCAACCTACAAGCGGACAAAACGAAAACAGATGGTGTATAAGATTTGTGTTGTAAACTTGTAATAAGTATCCGATTGAAAACTAAGCATGAACCCAGTGTGCCATTCACCAAAAGCATGGTTAGTGAAGGCTTGCCTGAATACCGGGAATGATAAAAGAAAATGGTACTGAGCCGCGAGAGCAACTTCAGAACCGAAAAGATAAGAATTACCCGAAAACGAAGCAGGATGAAAAAGGAAGCAAGCAAAGAATCTGAGATTTTTGGGGTTCCTGGGAGATTTCCTTTCTCGGTTGTCTGGCGTTTCGACGAATCGATGAATAAGGAATATTAATTTGGGTGCCCCCTGTTACATCTTCGTGGGTATTATGACTGTCCCTTGCACTTTTATGGTTTTTTCTTCTGGTATGATGAATTACTCTCAGTGAAATTTGTGATCTGTGAAAGTTAAATGATGGGCAAAGTCTTTTTTTTTTTTTTGAAAAAAGTATTTTAAAGACATGATCATGCAACTCTTGATGAAATTTGTATAAAGATATTGGTTTTTTCCAAGTGATTTTTTTTTTAATATTTGCGTAACTTTTGGCCTATTTGTCTAATTAGAATTAAATATATATAAACAGTGGCTGAATTTAGCAAAAATGACTCGTTCCTTTAAATAAAATCTAACATTTTAGTATTGTGAATAAACAGAATCATATTACAAACCATTTTCAATAATACTCAATTTTGATTTGATAATTCTGAGTATCAAATAATTATAGAAAATAAAATTCATGATTAACAATATAAATGTAGACAGTTAATTTTTCAGTTATAAAATAACAGAAACATGTTTTTAAATTTTTGAAAAATAACTTCAAACGTTTTTGATACTGTTATTTTGGAAATTAGCACTCATTTGTAGGTGCGTGCAACGGTCTGAAGAGCGATTTCCTTCCCCCCGCCCCCCCTGTTTGATGACAACAGAAGAATGATTATTCTCAACTGTGAAATTTAACAAATTTCTTACTCTTGATTGTCCCTTTTTTTTGTGGGGCCATCATGATTAACATCAGTGCTGCACAAAAAACAGGACGTCACTGGACTTCATCCTAACCCAAAGTCTGGTCTCTTTCATGAAAAAGACTAGGTTAGACAACCCGTAGTCCAGTCTTGTCCAATGATAACTTGAAGATTAATAGAAGCGGACTTGGTCCATAAGACTGGGAGACTGGTCCTGTCAGTCCAGTACTCACTTAGCTTTTTTTCTTTTTTTTTTATTCTATGAGAGAAAATAATCCATTCCAACATAATAAACTCAATTAAAATAGTAAAAACACTTATAATAATAATAAATTCATAATAATTTCTAACAATAAGAAAAAAATATTTCTGTTATAGTCTAAATTATTTAAATTTATAACTTTAACAAAAACAGTACTCAACAAAATTCAACAACACTATATTACAATAACAATTTAGAAACAAACTTAATAAATCTTTATACAATCATCTCCTTAACATCAATTACACTTTAAACATTTTTCAAAAATAAATTAATTATAATTATAATAAAAAAATTAATAGGACTGGATTGGATCAAGTGGTCCGGATGACTGGTCTCTTGTCTAGTCCAACCCGAAAAAATAGCCTGGTCTTTTTAGTCTTTTTGGTCCTGAAGGACCAGTGACTATACAAACCGAACAAGACTGAGATCATCTCAAGTTGGATTGGACCAGACAGGATTTGAAGACTTTTGCACAGTCCTAATTAGCATGGACTAAAACTTAAAAAATTGTAATCCTTAATTGGACGAGATACTTTGAGGTCAAAAAAAAAAAAAAAATTGGACGAGATACCCCACTGCTCAATGCTTACCGTCAAAATGCGTCATTTTGCGAGAATTTGAAGTTTTGAGGGGCAAAGGGGAGTGCTTCTAATTCATGAACAATAATGCAAGCGTACCTTCTGGTGGGACCCATCCCCATCGCTGGCTGTGGTGGCGGGTTGCACTCCACCGTCGATTCCAATCTGTTCATCGCTGCTCCACCCAGCTGGAGTAACCGTCGGCACCGCGGTCTCTGGCACGGTTACAGGTGGGGCTCACTTATTGTAGCATCGTCCTCGGCTGCGGCAGTCAACGGCGAACAGAACCACTACGTCGTGTTGGGCCTTGATCAGACTGCCACCGCTGCCGATATCAAAAGGGCTTATCGCCTGCTCGCTCGCAAGGTTTGCTGTTTCCTTCGTACTTAAGTATTAGGGATTTGGGTTCTTTAACTTCATATTCCAATTATGTTTTGATTTTTGTTAGTCTGGGGATTTCGGCTTGTGATGGACTGCAATCGGAAGTATGGACTTTAGAGACTCTGGACTCTGGACTCGGAATTTGAGAAAACAAATTCCTGGCTTCCAGCTATTGCTTAGAGTTATGGGGTTTTAGATAACCTTCACACTCCTACTTTACAGTCAGTTCTAGAAAACTTGTTAATTTTTTTTTTAAGCTCATTTGGTATGCTTGTATAGATGCATCAATATTCAGTACAATGGAAAACATTTGAACCATGTAACAGAGTTGTATGATCGCTGAATTGGTTGTCTTTTGAGCTAGACTGACCCAAAAATTTGGCATCTGGCCTTGAAAATTTTCTACGCAGTTGGAATTCCAAGATTTGGCGGAAGCTGTATGCTTAAGGGATGGATTAGTCACTGACCTGGAAGTTGAGTGGATATAGTAACTGCAATGATCTGGGTGTCCTAATTTTATTATATTATGCAACCTTTCCGCTAAGGATTTGCAATTAACCATGAACTAGAATGTACCGACTTATTTCTCATTCTAATAAAACTCTGCTGATCTTCGTTTCAATTAAGCTTTATGACAACCCAGAATAGGGGAAGGGTATTCTTTAATAATTTAGTTAAACTATGTATTGATATGCCTTATGATTGATTTTTTGGGAGGACGGGAGGATTGATGGATCTGGTGCAGAAAGGTGAGAGCTGATTAATTCTTGACGCAGCTTGTTGTCTTAGCATTGGATTTTCCCAGTTTGGACTCTGACATTGTCATCATAATGATTTAACAATTCCTGCCTTGAAAAATTCTATTATTTAAGAAGGTTTTTCTGCTTTGTGGAGATCATAGCAGAGAAATGAATGCAAACATTGTATTTTTTAGGGGATGACGGTTCACCAGTTATTCTTCTTCCCTTGTTCATTCTCGTAGTAGGCACTTCCTTAAACCTGGCAACGAGGGCACAGCTTCTTAACACATTCAGAATTGCAGAGCGTTTCTTTTTGTGGAGCAACAGAATTCTCGAGTTTAAGCAATATTTGATAGCTTGATCATGAATTTCATGCACGAATATGCTTTTACACATGTGCTAAGAGATACTTCCTCCATTTTTATTTATAGGAGAAACTATCACTTTCAACTTATTTTTTTATATAAACAAAATAACATTTTTCAATAAGCATTTATTGCAAACTTCTTAAATTACTCCTTATAATTTTATCATTCATGATCATAAGAAACAATTAATGACGGCTTGATTGACACAATTAATAAAGAGTATTGTAGTCTAACTCTTTTATTTTTAAATATAATTAATATAGTTAATTGATTTTTTTAACTGTGTGATACAATTTTTTTCTTTTATAAATAGAAATGGAGGGAGTATTATGTTCAGGATAGCTGTTTTATCTGCTCTCACCATATTAGACTCTGAAAGAGTTCAATGTGTCTTTTGATTTGGATCTCAATTCTAGTATTTGCTTTTCTTTGTAGTCATTAAATTATACTTCACCGATGCATTCATACGGAAATAGCATTCTCAATCCTCAGGAGGGCGCCTTTGTGCTGCCACCTTAAGCCTAAGTAGCCCCATGGGCTCTGCTTTCATATCATATAATTTTTACTTGGATGCTTGAACTGCTTGATTGCAGCATGACATATCCTAACTGAAATTCTTGCAAAAAATGTTATGTAGAATTATTTCTCTCGCCTTGCCCATAAATTCTCGTTCTTAATGACAATGATCAACACATTTTCCTTGTCTTTTATTGTGCTGTGATTGCAGTATCATCCTGATGTTAGCAAGGATTCACAAGCTGCAGAATTATTCAAGAGCATTCGTCGAGCATATGAAGTGAGCATTACCCATTTACCTTTACTTGCAATGTAGAAAAATGATTGTGTATAATGTACGAGGAAAATAGTTCAGGGCAAGAGGACCTCTAGGAACCCTCAGATGCCTGACTGTTTCCTTTTATTACTTCTGGTTCTTCAGCTTCATGGTTTATGCCTGGGGAAAAATTGAAGCTGACTAGATGGTTTTTGAAGATTGCAGATTGTTTGAAAACGAACATCATACGTAACGTTAAATCATTCTTCATTTTAAATTCAAGCTGAAACCACTAGACAAATTCTTACTTCCGGAATAAAAAAATCTTGTAACTTGGAACGGCTTAGAAAACACTTGAGGTTCCTTGATTCTCTAAGGAATTTAGGCTTTTCTTTCACTCTGCCTCTTGGCATATGTGCTTTTTAAAATCCAGATATAATTTCTACCTTCATCCTTAAAACAGGTTCTCTCCAATGAGGCAACGAGAATTCAGTATGATCAGTCTCTAAAATTTCGCCAGCAACCTTACAGGAGAAGATGGAGTTACGGCACGGAATTTGATGATGAGATAAGAATGTATAGGTGGGCCAAACTGAGGCAGAAAATGCATGACGAAGTATACTGGGAGCACTACAACGTCAATGAGGGCTCCTCCTGCAACAGCAGTGAAACAGAGGAGGAAGAGGAGGAAGAGGAGGAAAAATTAGAAGAGAGAGGTTCCTTCATTGAAGTTCTTAGATCAGCATTCGTGTCACTGTTATTGTTCCGAACATTTGGATCCCGATTGTCCCTCACATTTAGCAGCCTGCTGGCATTGTTCGACAGGAAGCTGGATACTGGCTATAAAATCGGATATGTAATGGCATGGATTCTGGGTGGTAGGGGTGGCATATTGCTAACACTATGCTTGTCATTTGCAAGTTGGGCTTGTGGAAAAACCAGTAGTAGCGTAGTTTCGCTAGTGGTGGTAGCCATGTGGGTTGGGTCCTATCTTGCTAGGTATGCACCTCTTCCCCAAGGTGCTCTGCTAACTCTTATCTACATGTCCATTAAGCTACAATCTGACCTATAAATATAAACACCATGCTCCCACTGCTACGCATGGTTACATATTTTTTCCTGAAATGAGTGGTTGTACGTATATTTCCGTATGAATGTAGTACGTATCCGTTGAAGCTGCTTGCTTGTATACTAAATAACGAATCTTCTGGGAAATTGAATGCATTTCATGGCTTTAAAAAAAAAAAAATTGGGCAGATCAGTTGTCAGGCCTCGGAAAACTAACATCGAAATTTTCAGAAAAAGTGTTTAGACAAGCAGAGTTTTACACCAAAGTTTCTCCTCGTCCATTTCCATATCAAATTGTAGTACTACAGCCATTCATCTCCAAAACAGATGAAGAAAATAAGGAAGATAAGATTGTGCGTATTTGGGCAAGACCATTATTGGGGACACTAGTCCTAAGAGTTTCTCTGTTCCGTGTCCCTGTTCACAGCCCTCAGATTTCTCCAGAGATACCTCCCACTAGCCATGTCGACGAATACCCAGAATCCGTTCTGAATCGCCTGAAACCCAAAAGGCATTGTGGTGAGGGGAAAAAGGAGAGGAAAGGACAACCAAGAACCGATCGTGAAATAAAGAGCGCACCTGTTTCAAATTGAAATCATTCTTGGTGGGAGACTTGTCTTCACGAGTAGATTCATCGGAAGCGACGCGAGTGTCCGGCGAGGAACGCACCGTCCTCCACGCAAAATAACCCGCTAGCACCGCGGAGAAGAAGACCAAGATGAACCTCAGAGGGCACATAACTTCCTCCAAGGCCCCAAGAAACGGAAGAAGCGGAGATTCTGGAGAATGATAATAGAAAGAGAAGCGCGAACGCGGTGTGGGCTTGATGAGAATAAAATGAAGGAATTGAGGAAAAGGAAGCAAAGGCGCGTGCGTTTAGAGTGGAAAATTCTCAACCACTATGCGACTTTTTGTTGTTTACGATGTCAAAGAAGTTGGCTTCGCCAACAGCTTCCTTCTCTTTTAGCCAAAGTGCCATTCAGACATGGCCCTATCTGCCTCTACGGTATTGTTATAATTATTATTTGCTTATTTTGGTCATTCAGCGGCCATTACTCAACGTCGTGCCTGTGCATTCATAGTTGGATATCCTCCTCCCATCTCACAAGTATTAAAAATTATTTGAATCTGCTCATTCATTACATGGTGCGGTCCAGCTGTGCCCACTACTATGGGATTATCATCTAGATCCCACGTTCCCCACTTGTGCAATTGACAAAAAGCCTCCAACATTGACTACAGTTATACTCTTCTCGTTTTTTTTATATATATATATATATAATGTATCACACTATTTAAAAAAATTAATTAAATATAATAATTATGTTTGAAAATAAAAATTTTGAACTAAAATACTTTATATTAATTAAAATAAATATACATTAATTATTTTTTGTTAATGTAAATTATTATGAGCGATTTAAAAAATGTATAATAAATATTTATTAAAATATGTGATTTTACTTATATAAAAAAATAAAAAATAATAGTTTTTTTATAAATAAAAACGAAGTAGTAGGTTCTTTATTTTTTTTGGTACAAAATTTACATTCCTTGTTGTATTGGATAAGAGAAAGAAAAGGTTTGGATAAGAACAATGACAGGGCAAAATATTGGGCTGGTTTGGCTTCTGGGATCCACTAACTTTTAGTTTTTTAATGGGCTCGTATTTTATGTTTCCAGGTTTTAATTTAACCAAGTCCCTGATAGCTATTTTGGGCCATTGTATGCACTGCTTATAAAATTGGTCTATTCAAAACTTATCATCAATTTTTGAATTCTTATTAAAAAAATATTCACATTCAATGCATAATTGTGATACAAACAACATGGCCTCCAATAAAAAAAATACAAGTGAGAAATAAAAAAATTATCATTAATAATCAATTAATCAATCTATATTTACTACCTACATACCAATACAAGATTTGAGCAACTTGTCAAGACTAATATTCATACAAAATATCATAATGCAAGAGAGACATATCTGATTACTCGCCCCAATCAAGGAAAAGGGAATCTATCCGATGTCTATAGTGGAAAGGGAGTTGAGGTACAGAGTATATTCTGATATGGAATTCCATCTAAAGATTCCCTCGTCCATGCATTGAAATTATTTACTTACTCTCATCAATCCTATCATCCTAATTCTTACAGTTTTTTTTCTTTGGGACCAGAATTCTTGAAATTATTTTTAGAAGGGGTGTCGATATTTAATATCAGATGGATATTGAACTTGAGGAGGACTTGATAAGAAAAAAAGAAAAAGAAAAAGAGCAGTGCTTTCTCCTGGAGCAGTGAATAAGTTACACTTTATTCCGTTTCATTTGATCAACTTGTCTTGGTGTCAGAAACACTGTGACTATGCATAAAATATATTTCCCTACTGTTCCTATTCAAACGAGATATTTGCCTCAACCCTCTATCTCTCTCTTTCTTGCCCACCTTTCACGGCTAAAATGGGACAGGGGCACAAAGCAAGGAACTTCCAAGAGTCAGACAGCCATGCAAATGCTGTCAGGATACCAAAATAAAAAATAAAAAATGAAGATTTAAAAGTTGAAACAATGATTTGCTACACTTGAATTGAATGAGTTTCACATTACATTTAGTGCTGTTGATGATCGTGATCGTAAGCAACTTGTATTGTTTCGGAATAAGGGAACATGCATTAACTCTAATGGTTAGAAATAGTGGAGTCATCTTTCTCACCATCTGCTGCAGCAGTGCTCAACCAAATTGGGAGTATTATGCGTAGAATAACTGCATCCAGGTACGTGCATTTTAAGTAGAAGATTCTGCGGATGAAAGAAGGATAAGACATGCCTCAGTGGATCCTAACGTCGTTTAATTTCTCTCTTATCTTGTCCCTTTTTCCTCTTGATTACTTTTTTGATTACTTCATCACAAAATGGCTCATAAGAAAGATTCAGCATCATCACGCACTTCTTTTAAAAAGAAGTCCAATACACGAAATTCACTTTCGTGGTCAAAAAAGGAAAATGGTTGCAAGACTTTATCGAGTTGGCAGGTTGTGAGAGCGAGTTTTAGTGTCGTGAATTATGCAAGCTTTTGTCTATTTTTCCTTAGCTTGACTGTAAAAGGAAAATTTGGAGAGCGATTGATGAAAGAGAATTTGCAATGATGTTTCTTGTGAAGATGAATAATAGTATATAGTGATGATGATGATGTTAAAATTGGAATGGTACCAGCTTCGATCTGGTCATACGTCGGTGTGATAGCAATACAGGGACCGAATACTATTTCATCACCTCCAAATACTTTGGACGTACTTGTTTATTGGCGTACTCAAACAAATTCTGTGAGAGTCAGCAGAAGTGTTCGTTGGGGACAAGACAAGGATAGGTGGAGTTGCATGTTGGAGTACACAATTTTCACGCCTATTCTGGAACCATGTGAGGCCTTGACAGATTTCAATATTGCCTTCTTACGTTACATTGAATTTAGAAACCAGATTTCGGTCCTTCCAATTTCCAAAGATATATAACATCCTGAAAATTGGATTCATTATTGAACTGGTCGAGTGCTGGTTTAAGGAAAATTATAGTTAAACCGTAATTAAACTTGTTATAAATAAAATATTTTATTTAATCAGTCAATATATTGATTTTACAGTTTAATACTAGGGGCTATATGTTTTGGCTTCAAGTTGAGGTTATGCGGAAATTAAATTAGAATGACGAACTTTTTTTATAATCAGTATGCTCCGTCACTCATGAGAAAATACTATGCTCGTTGAGTTTTTTATGTTTTTGCAAGCGTGGTTGAGGTGAGCAAAGAGATTCCAAGTCCAATAAACAAAATCCATGTTAGTTGAAAGGAATCAGAATTATTTAAATATAAGGTCTTGAATTCAAATTCATACAAATGTTAAAAAAAATTGAAATAACTAATCATAATTAGACCCGACAATATTCAGATAATCCAATGAAATAACTAAAAAAAATAGAAATTCCAAGCCTAAGCATTGCTTCTCATAAAAATTTGCAACAAGCTAAAATCAAGGAAGAATGAAATTGGATCATTAATTCAAGTAAAGTCTTAACAAATTTTAAAATACAAAATAGGTCTCTTAAGTCTTTAACTAATATTTTCATATATTACAATCCATTTTCAATTTTAAAATTGAAAAAATGAGTTGTAAATTTAACAAAAAAATTGTAAATTTGAAAGATAAAGTTGTCATGACTATGAGTGTTCAAATAATGACATATTCCTTTTCAAACATTATCATTAAGATTTGTATTCCTTGTTAAAATGGAGAACGCAAGTTATAAATTTAAAACGACAAAAATTGCAAATTTGTCTTTCAAATTTGTTGTTTTACAATTATATATTTTAAATTTGTAACTTTGTCTTGTTCAATTTTTAACTCTTTTTCCTGAATTTAATATGGAGCATGAGTTTTAATAATTAAATTTAAAAAGAATTTTGTAATTATTTAGACACTTTTAAAAATTTATAACTTTATTTCTATATGAACATTGTATTTTGTTTGGATTTCCAAATACAAATTAAAAATAAATAAATAAATAATAGTTTTTATAATAAGATATAACATAATATAAAATACTATTGTTGTAAATTGAAAATGCTTTCCTTTTTATGATTTTCAAGTCCGGCCTCACAATTATGATTCTATCCAATTAAATGTCTTGATTTGAATATGTAGAAAACATGAAATTATAAAGGCAAAAATGGAATGAAAATAATCAAGAATTTGATTTGATAGTATATTATAATTTGTTGGGTCGTTACTCATTAATGAGGGGAAAAAAAAACCCTCTAGTTAAGTCCATAAAAAAGGTAGAAGAATTCTTCTCCTTAGAACGGGGGAAAAAATTTTGAAAGGGAGAGAAAGAAGAGACAGGTAAAAATCCTCATGGTACGTTGCTCTATAAGCTTTTTCTTTTATCATTCACTTTTATATTTTTCTCATAATACATGGGTTATTATGTTTTTTATTGGGTCTTGAATTTTACTGAGTGTTATCATAATTGTTGTTGTGGGTATCGTGCCTCCAACTTCATTTCGCTCTAATCCAATGATATATATTTGTATTCCCAGTTGAATCAACACACTTTCCTTGACGAGAGATAATCATGTTTGAACTTAATGAGTCGCAGAGATTTGTGAGCAAAGTATTCTTTCTTTGTTTTTCCTTCACGCGTGGAATAAATGTGGCTTTTGGTGAATATAGTTTCTCTCGGTCCTGTGTTTTCCTAAATTATTATCTTTATACTTTGTGATGAAAGAAGAAAAATGGAATCCGAAATGGGATACAGTGAACAATGCTAAGTTGTTGTAGATATTAATTTTTGTGTCAAGACTAAATCATCCTCATCTTTTTAATAAATTTTTTTTAGGATTGCTATGAGTAGTGTTGAATTACCGTATGCATTTAGAGTATTAACCAGTGGACCGGTTCTCATAAATTAATTTATGAATTTATATTTTTATCTAAATACTTTCTTGGAATGAGTTGTTATAATAATAATGATAAGAAAATTTAGTCCAAAATAATATTCTTTTAAAAAACTTAACTAAAATACTCTTATCCTAAGTCAAGTTTAACTTAGTAAATAAATATTTTTTCTTTGTTTGTTTTATTTTATACTATTTTAAGTAATTAAATTATTTTATTTTATCAACGGTAATTAAGATATCACAAAAGGATAATTTAAATTTCTACAATTAACTTAAGGTAATCATTTTTATGAATGAGTGTTGTAGTGTATTTAATATCTTTTGCATGCACAAAATTTTTTAAACCCTCGCAAATCATCATTAAATTTATTTTCTCTTATGTGGTTCTTCAATGTCTTTTTAAAAACTTTGATAGCAATTTTTTTTATTATTTATAGGCATCCTCCGATTGGAGGCAATCATGTTTGAAACATGATGTGTCATTAAGTGTATGTACCTCTCCTAGCAAATATTCAAAAATTGATTTGTCATGTTATGAGAATTAGGCCCTTTCACTAAACCTAACCCCCTATCGGTGCGACTTCCATTTCCTTTTTTGACTGCATCACTCGATGTCTTTAGGAATGAGGTATTACCACCTCTCGCCTGAACTAATCTGAACCCATTGTGTAGGATCATTATTATCAATGACAACCTCACGAGTAATTTAAAAATATCTTTGACATATTTACTTAATACAATTGCATATCTCAGATTGTGAACTCAAGACCTCAAGATAAGCTAATTTAACCAACTTTTTTTTTTTACATTTATTAATTTCCCTTTTTTGAGAAAATCACAATTCATGCACGACACTCCCAATTTTGAAGTTTTGTCGTCTTGATTGTGCAGTTTGCTTCTTAATTTTAATAGGAAACACAAGTCTTAATGATTAAATTTGAAAAGTATTATGTCATTATTTGAACATTTTTAAGGATTTACAACTTTATCTCCTAAAAATATAATTTTATCTTGTTTAAGAATAAAACGATGCCTTTGAAATTTTAAGTGTCATCCCCTTGAAAACAAACCAATCCTTATATGACTTTTAGACTTAAAAGAACCGGGTAGTTTATTATAAGAAGTTGTGTAGGTTGGGAGAGAATTCCCTTCTCTGCCTTCCCATCATTTTCCCCTCCTCTACTCCTTTTAACTATTAAATTGATGTTAAGACAGTTTAGATTTGATCTCTTAAAAAATTATTATTAAAATGTTAAATTATAAAAAATATAAATAATAAAATTTAAGCTGCTATAATTTAACATAAAAAATTAAAAAAATACAAAAAATAAAATATTTTATAAGATCTCAAATCTAATGTGAATTTAATTAATGATTAGAAATTAAGAAAATGGTTGGGAGAGAACGGAAGGGCAGAAGAGGCCACCCTTCCATAATTACCTTATATGGGCCCCTCTATTTTTCATTCTGAAGACTAAGAGGCAGAGCACGTGAAACGTCACATTTTGAGAAGCGGTTGAAAAAGAAAAACTAAACACGGCAAAGAAATTTTGGTAGAGGCTTGTTCAGCAAACACCAAATATTTTGAACGCTAAGATGTCGTGACCCCGCAAAGAGAAATTAATCATTGAGCCTCCACACCGTACTACGCGGTGCCAGTGCCATCTTTTCTGGATGACGCTACTTCAATCAAAAGGCCGTAACCATTAATTATGTCAGTGGGGGGAAATTCAAAGCAATCATTTATTACTGAGAGTCCATTATTAACCCTTTCTGTAAATAATGTAAAAAAAAAAAAAAAGATGGCCGGGCTATGTGGAGATCGCGTTGGATTCACGTACCTGCTATGCTGACCCATTTGTATGTATAATCGATAGTCATGTTGCAGCGAAACCCGTCACCCACGTTCGCTTACAACCTGTTCTGTCATTGTGAGCGATGCTAAAGTGTTTTACAAAGTGTCTGAGAGAGAGGGAATGCGAAGGGTTATAGGAGCTTGAGTTGATATATGCTGTCTTGTGGATAATACGTCCTTACATGAGCATCATATTCCTTCTGTGAATTGTAATTCTGACTAAAGCAGGCGCGGCAGCAACTGATTTGATTGAGTTGGTTTGGGCGGATTTGGTGTTTGCGAGGAGTTTGCTTTTGAATTGGATTCCACCGGGAATTTAATTCCGATTCTCGCAAGAGTCTGGGTTTTCCTCCCTCCCTCCCTCTACATATAAATATAAATCCCCAAATTTTATCAGGCGTCGGACCTGAGGAGTCTCCATCGATCGAACCCATCCTCACACTAACAACTTATCTCCAGGTATGTTTCATAACTCCCTAGCATCTCTCATCGATCTAAATTATTTTTACCTCCCTTTGAAAGGTTTGGTTTTCTCAGCAACAAGCACCTAGTGTTTTATGAAGATTTTCGCTGAGCATAATGGTTTGTTGCATTTTCACGGAATCGTTTCTCTTCCTGAACAGTAACATGGAAGATGATCAAAACTATCTGTTTCAATTCCGGTATATCTTATGGCTTGACTTTAGTAACAAGGAAGTCGGTGCTTGTTTCTAGAGTGGGGAAAAAGATATTTTTTTAGTCCCCTCTAAAACCGGGGAGAGAGTTCTCTCCTCTTCCCCTTCTCACTCATTCTAACCATTTAGATTAATAACTAGATGGTTAAGATTTGAATTCTTACAAAATTATTATTAAAATGTTAAAATATAAATTATAAAATTTAAATCATTAAAATTTAGTAACACTTAAAAATAATATAATATAATATAATATATTCTATAAAAATTAAATTTAAATTTTTAAATATTAATTTAATGATTAAAAAATAAAAAATGGAGGGGCAGAGAAGAGGAGAGAATCCTCCCTTCCTTTTTGATCAAATATAATCAATTTTCTTGGGTCCATTCCACATATAATTTATATAGGAAACTGACGTGTGCTTGAACTGGATTGGATATGTGCAACGAATGCACGAACTTGGAAGTGGGACCATAAATCTTGAATCTGAACCCTGCAGTCTAGGATAATGTTATCTTTTGAATACAAAATTGTTCACCTAACCAAAGGACTTTCGTATTGTAAACGTTTAGTTTTATTTATCTGTATAATTAATTGATCTTTTTTCATAAAAAACAAAACAAAGCACCGTAGGAAGCCGCCTTCGTAACGGCATCTGATTTTCATTTCTTTTCTATCCTATTTGTTGAATTTTTGAAACAATGGTTTTTTGGCATAGAACAGTGTAGCTGCCAAAAATGGCATTCCAAAGTTTAATATTAAAGCATGCCTAATCAATAATAAAGACTTTCAACTTTGTAACTATTTCATATCATATGCATGTATCCTCTCATCTACGCAACTATTAAAGCGTGCCTGCTTTATAACCCAGGCACGACCTTTCTCATTATTTTTCTGCTAAGATTTTACATGCTGTTAATTTTAGGACGATTGTGTTTGTAAATTGTAATTGTACTGTAGGCTCATTGAATTTTATTGGGTTGAAATGGTAAAGCAAAGCTGGCAGGGACACCTAGCATCCCGTTACTTTACGCACCACCCAAGAGTTCCTTAGGAAAATTTTCAAGTTATTCGATTCAGCGCTTGTCCCTTAAAATACAATAGCAGAACAAATTGCCAACCAGGGAATTTTTGGATATAAATAAATCAGAAAAGAAAAGAAATTTTGTTATCAAGGTGGAAGCATATATTAGAGAGCGGGATTTGCAGGATCAATACTACTGGTAGAACATCGTGAAAGGCAAGTACATGATGAATAGTTTGTGGTTTGTATTTTTTATGTATCTGTAATAAAATATTATGTAGCGAGATTCATGCTTCCGCAATAGTGGAAATGAGGTATGCATATGTTTAGAAGAATAAATGCTAATTAATATCCGTGCCTTGAAAATGACAATTTTGAGGCTCTGGAAAGCAATGAATTTATTTTCCTTACTTTCAGCCACTATAAACAAAATAAAACTCTTCTTAAAATCCTTCTTATCACCGCTCACTCATTTTGTCCCTTTGTTAAACTATCTTGTGTTGCATCTGAACTGTATAACACCTCCTGAGATGGTTTTGGAGCCTCTGGGAATGCAAATTCATAATATAGATTCAATAGAGCCCTTAGTTGTTGACCTTTTGGTGTGTCAACAGGTGATTTTCTTGTGATTATTTATTGGTAATTGTATCAGCACTTAGCCCAGTAGTATAGCATAACGTGATAACAGAAAGGGCGCTGGCCAAACAATCCATCATAAATACATTAAGACGGTAATCATGAATCCCAGATCAGCTTTGAAAGAACAGAAACTTTAATCTGTACTTTCATACCATGCGGCATGGTCGTTTATCAAGACCAACTTTTTTCTGCTAGAATGTTACTAGAGATATAAAGAAGTTTAAATTTCTGAGACAAAACAGGTAAATTTTGTTGAACAAATTAATAGTCTTTTCTCCTGTAGAATGTTAAAGCTGGGTCTTCAGTGTTTTACTTAGAGGCAACTGACTGATTTATTTATGCATTTGATAGCGTGCCACATAGAACCATGTCTTGGTAATGAAACTATAAGTTGTAACCTCCTTTATTCAGCCTTTGGAAGATAGGAAAGATATGTTTTCCTCCTGACTTGCTGACAATGAATTTCCTGCTTCAAGGCCACACGGGATCGTACGTTGCTGGTACTCATCCATTTTGGTTTCCCATATGACCGTTTAGCCGCCTCTTAATACGATATTATCGTTGACATTGAGTTGACGTGGCTCTGTTGCGCGTGTCGCTGGGTTGTCTAATAAAAAAAGTGGGCAGATAGATATGTTAACTCGTCCCCCCGCATTGCACATATAAATGCATAAGACGCATGTAATCGTAACAATAAAGATACTGGAAGCTGTGTCTTCGTCATCCTTCACATATACCTGATCAGGAGACTGATTCTTGTTTTAGATTTTTTTGGCTGCCGTGGGGAACAATGAATGCACTAGTAGCCACAAACAGGAACTTCAAATTGGCCTCTCGGCTCTTGGCTTTGGATTCCAAGCTTGAGAAAAGCTTACTCATTCCATTCAGAGAAATCAAGGCAAGTAAAATTCTTCTGTGTTTCCCTTGAAATTGTACGAGCAAGTTATTCTGACTTCGCCCTTTCTCTCTCGCGTAATTCATTTTGTCAAATGAAAGTGCAGGTTGAGTGTACCATACCTAAAGACGATGGCACCTTAGCATCATATGTTGGATTCAGAATTCAACACGATAATGCCAGAGGGCCGATGAAAGGAGGAATCAGATACCATCCTGAGGTTATATATATTCTGATCTCTGACTCTCAAAATCTCAGTTACTTTGCCAGAACTATGATGGATTTAGATGCTGTATACAAAGGAATCACAAGAATGACAAGATCAACACATGATGGACCAAATTACCATTATTTTTCTACCCCTTATTGAAGTCATCGTGCGAACCCTTGATATGATTTTTGTATCATTCGGGGCGCTTTAAACCCCTGTTCTTACCTGCATGATTTCTTGGATTAATTAGGTTGACCCAGATGAAGTGAATGCTTTAGCGCAACTAATGACTTGGAAGACAGCTGTCGCAAATATACCGTACGGTGGTGCCAAGGGGGGAATAGGGTGCAACCCTTCAGAATTAAGTGTGTCGGAATTAGAACGGCTTACTAGAGTTTTCACTCAGAAAATTCACGATCTGATTGGAATTCACACAGATGTGCCCGCACCTGATATGGGAACGGGACCACAGGTCGGTCTGTATAAAGATTTTGCCCAGTGCATTTACTTCTTCTTGTTGTAGATCTACTAATGCTCAGGTTCACAGGATCTTAATTCTTATGTATAACATATATTGAATTTGCTTTTAGAACTGAGCATTGTCTTTCTGGTTGGTTATGCAGACTATGGCATGGATACTGGATGAGTACTCGAAGTTTCATGGCTATTCTCCTGCAATTGTGACTGGAAAACCTACAGTAAGTAAATTATTCTTGTTAATTGTCAGTCTCATGCAATCATGCTTAATAAAAAATATCCTTTTCTTCCAAATTTCCCAAAAAGGATCTTGGTGGATCTCTGGGCAGAGATGCAGCCACAGGAAGGGGAGTCCTCTTTGCCACAGAGGCTCTGCTTTATGAGCATGGGAAGAGCATTTCTGGACAACGGTTTGTCATACAGGTACTTCTGCCGTTTTTTTGACTCAAATTGGTATCTGTATCATTACTCGTGAATGTTGCAAGCATTTTATGGCGACAGCAGTTTCAACTTCGACGACACTGCTGATTGTAATGATGAATGAAGAAAAAGAATTATTATGTATTTGGAGTAGTGATAAATTTGAGAAAAACAATTCAGGGTTTTGGGAATGTGGGATCGTGGGCGGCACGATTGATAAGCGAGAAAGGTGGGAAGATAGTTGCTGTGAGTGACATTACAGGTGCCATAAAGAATAGCCATGGAATTGACATCCCAAGCCTTCTCAAGCATTCCAGAGAGCATCGAGGCATTAAGGGATTCCATGGTGGTGATCCAATAGATGCCAACTCAGTATTGGTTGAGGACTGCGATGTTCTCATCCCCGCAGCTCTTGGGGGTGTCATTAACAGGTACTTATCCTTGAATAAGTCTTCTGTTCTTCCCCCAGGCAAACAAAATGCTTATGAAACTTGAAATAGCAGAGTATTTTTGTTTTTCCTTCTTAGTTTAGTGCCTTTATGATAAAAGTGAGGTACGAAGGACTCTAAGATCACATTTGATTACTAGAATAGAATGAAATAGAATTGATTGAAAAAATTAACACAAAAATGAACCAAATCATCATTCCTATTCATGGTAAATATGATTAAATTCATTAATATATACTATGAATGTAAGAACAATCACACCCTCCAAAAATTTCATAAATCATAATTCTCAACCTAGGAACTAAATTACCCCATTTATTTATAAATGTAGTTTGATCATCTTATTTTTATGTTTATTTTTTTCAATCCATTCCATTTCATTTCTTTCTAGTAACCAAACATGACTTAAACTTTTATCTTCCAACTTCCACTCTGGTTGAAGGGAAAATGCAAATGAAATCAAAGCCAAATTTATTATCGAAGCAGCCAATCACCCAACTGACCCAGAGGCGGATGAGGTCGGTGTATATTCTCCCTTTCAATATTAAAAATGAACGAGGAAGGAGAAATAGTGTCATTAACTGTAAAGTTAATCTGCAGATTTTGAAAAAGAAAGGAGTTGTAATCCTTCCAGACATATATGCCAATTCAGGAGGAGTCACAGTCAGTTACTTTGAGTGGGTGCAGGTAAATCATAAGACCTAACATGTAAGTTTATAGTAGAATCTACATTATCAATACGTTGCATGTTGGTTTTGTGATGCGCAGAATATCCAAGGGTTCATGTGGAATGAAGAGAAAGTGAACAATGAGCTGAAGACTTACATGACGAGTGGCTTCGAGAGTGTGAAAGAGATGTGCAAAACCCACAATTGCGATCTTCGCATGGGAGCGTTCACCCTCGCAGTTAATCGTGTAGCTCGGGCCACAGTCCTTAGAGGGTGGGAAGCTTGACATCTTCAGTCCATGATTGCTGCTGCTGCATTGAATAAAGCTAAAGAATACCTGATTCCGGACATTCTAGTCTCTTGTTTGGTAATGCTACTGTGAGAGATATACATCCACCATTTTTTGTTGTTATAACCTTCCCCTCAGCTTTATTTGGTCCATTTATGCCTGAGTTATCAAAACAAAAGGCATGTCCACCCAACATAATTTACTCACCTGTCATGGTCATTTCCTTCATCTGAAATAAAATTGTTTTAGATCCTCGGCATGCAAGACATGCTTCATCTTCCCTGGTTATCCCATAAGCATGATTGAGATGGAAGTAAACTATAACGACATTGAGAATTTTGACCCAATTAATTGATGTCCTTATGGACTTCTGGAATAATATCCAGATAGCAACAGGTGGTTTTAGAAGCTATGAAGAATGAATTGGTTTCGCAGAAAATTAATTCGCAGTTTTTTTTAATAATTTACCTCATTTTTAAATTAGTAGTTTATTTTATTTTAATCAATTCATTATAGTTTAATTCAATATATATATTAGTCCCTGAAAATTAAAATTATTAATGAGTATCTAACTTTCTCAAAACAAAAACTTTTGAAGTTGATAGAAAATTTAATTTATTAATACTTTAGAAAAAAATTGGCCTAATACAACGTTTTCATTTTCATTAATTTTTTATGAAAAATCTGTATGTATAAAAATTCTTATAACTGTATAAATTTTAAGTGATAAAAATTATGTAATTAATTATAAAATTATTTAATTTTCTAATAAAAATATAGATATATTTATTTTTAATTTTTTAGAGGAAAATTTTAAAAATGGTAACTTTTAAGAGCAGATTTGGATCCCCTCTCATAAACTGTATGCAGTGGGTAGCAAGTAGGTTCATATCTGCCATCAGATTGATCATACGGTGAAAAGAGAGTTCGGTGTAAAATTTATTTGAAATCTATAAAAATAAGGAAAAATGACAATCTGAAATATGTAAAATAATAAAATTGATACATGATAATTTGATTCCTTAAAAAGCCATAATTTCATTGAAGTACCTAAGAATTTTTCTGTTGTTAATGAATTAATATAAACAATTAAACTGTCCTTGATTTAAATTGACAAATTACCTTAACATGCGAACTTGTGATTTATTATTAAATTTTTATAATTTAAAAAAAACTTATAATTTTTTAAACAAAACTTAAGATTGGTACTTGTTATTTCTAAGACAAGAAATATTAAGAACTTGATATGTGAACTTATGATTTACTGTTACATTCTCGTAATTTTAAAAAGAAAAATTGTGATTGCCATTTGTTATTTCCAACATTTTAACAATATCAATAATTTGAAATGCGAGGTTATAATTTGCTATTACATTCTTATAATTTTAAGAAAAAAAATTATAATTCTTTAAATAAAACTTATGATAGAATGAAGGATAATTTAATCACTTATATTAATTCATTGATAACAGAAAAAGTTCCTAAAAACATTAGTAAAATTATGACATTTTAAGATACTAAACTATCATTAATATAATTCAAAAGGATTTTATTATTATTTTTCTTAAAAATTTTTTTATTTTTTTTTTATTTTATATTTATCAAAATATTTAATAAATCTATCCATTATCAATATAAACTATTCGGACCTTAGATATTCAAATTTAATATTAATTGAGAATAAAAATTTTTATTTTAAATAAATTATTTATCTAGAATTATTTTAGATGGTTCAGATTTAATATTAAAATTTTTAATAATTTTTATAAAGTTAATTCTGTAAATTTACTTTAAATAATTCAGATTTAAAATGTTTCACTTATAATTTAAAATAAAATTGTAAAGAGCAGATTATCTTTATCTTTAATATTGTATTTACTAAAATAAAAATATTTTAAAAATTAATATTAAATTTGGATTAATTAGAATAATTCTGGATAATCAAATTATAAAAAAATTAATAAATTCAAATAATTTTAGGTTTGAATAGTCCAGATTGATAATAGGTAGATTTAAATAGTTTGATCATAAAATAAACATAAAAAATATTAATTTTGTACTTTTACAGATTTCAAAAAAAAAAATTTACATCGAACCATCTTTCTACTAGACATGACTCCACTTCCCACCCACGGTATGCAATCTACAGGAAGGGATCCTAAATAAACAACAAAATTTAATTTAAAATTAAAGAAAACTATAAGAACCTATAGATTAATTTTTACTTTCTTAAATATGCAATATGTTAAATTACATATTTTAGTTTTATCAAAAAAATTAATTGAAAACAACTGCAACTTCTGAATCCACGGACAACTAGTGGTAGCATCAATATAACCTTGGCAAAAGAATAGTACAACATTCAAATTTTTCAGAGAGAACAAATCTCAATTACCTTGCAACCAACGAATCAAATCTACTACAAGAGGAAGCTGTGAAGCAACTCAATCTTTGAGAAACATTTCAGCCTCCGATCTTCTCTTCAACACATTTCATAAGCCATAACACAACACAGACGTCTCCTATGATCTCCCCCTTCTCCCGAAACCACCACCCCTAGGAGGACCACCTCTTGCACCCCTTCCTCGAAAGCCCCCACCCCCACGAGAACCTCTGCCTCCACCTCTAGAAGCTTGTGGTTGCCCCCTGCAACAGCAACCAACCATTTAATTTGATTGAATTCCAATTGCCACAAAACATTAGCCAGCTATGTCAGCATAGCATGTGCAAGTATAAAATTTTGGCAACCAATGCTGTTGATAGTGAGATAAAGCCACACCAGTCGTAGCCAATTGCGTAGTACAGAAGTGCATCAATGAAAACAAGGGCGAGCACTGTAAAAATTAAGTAAAAATAGTAGTACAATGCCATCTAGGTATATAACAGTATATCTAGATGAAAAAGCAAAGATTAAATACAGCCTCCATTTCAGCAAAATATTGTCTCCAACAATCTAAAGGGCAAAAAGGACCAAGCCCGCCATCCTTGCTACTAAGGCAAGAAGCAAAGGATCCACTTGATGAATGACTATCCAATAATCAATAGATAATCCCTTCCACCCGGTTAAGCTATTGCATTGCATCCCCATGTCAACGCTTCCTGAACCAACTAAAGCAAGGAATATGAGGATTAAGGGTTAAGAGGTTCAGAGTGAAGCAAGAAATATGAGGATCAGAGTGCTAGCATCCCTCGCTCAAGGCTGTATAGAGGTAAAACAGTAGCTGCCTAAGGCTACACTTATCAAGGACTTCACTTGGAAGGTCTGTTTAAGTTAGAAGCGAAAGCCCCACAAGCAAAAAAAAAAAAAAAAAAACCATCTTCAACCTTCTCCTACTTCCATTCATATCCCTAAAAAAACATTACAGTAGGAAGCATTAAAAACTATGAATACAGAAATAATCCCCTCCCGAGGTGCAAAATAATGAGATGAAAGCCTTTAAATACATGAAAAATGACTTGAAAAAGAGAAAGAAAGCCGTTTTGATATACTTTTCAAATGGATAGATGATCATGCATGACATTCCAGCAAGTCCATAAAGGGGGAAAAACTCAGGGTTGTACAGGATAGAGCAACCAACAAAGGAACTGAAAAATCAAGCTCACCCGCTTAGTCCCAACAGAGCATACCATTGATCAAATCGTACTATAAGATATGAATCTGGTTTTCCTTCTCCTAGTTAGAGAAAAATACTGCATAAGTATATATCACAGGACTGGTAAAACCAAAGTAATGCATCCATCGTATTTTATAAGCCTCCACCTCCCAAGTGAGGGTAAAAATAGAAAATAGCCTAGGAGATTGGAAGTAACAAATTCAAATAATTATGAACTGCTGGAAATCACATTAATTATGCAATGAATGAGCAGGTTATTTCTGCAATGACATTGTAAGAGAAACATAATTGGGTTGTGGAAGAAATCTAGCAAGAGGCAACAATTTCCTTGGATCATATAAACTTGTCGCCAGATGAATACGAAGTTGCCACATTCCCTTCCATCATCTTAATGAAAAGCATTGCAACAGTGCGATTGAATACGGAAATTACATCTCACTTCTAAAAAAGGACAGAAAAATAAAGGAATCAGCAACTCAACAAAAAAATCAGAACTCACAGCGTCATTTATGGGGCTAAATATTTCCTCAACTTCCCCAATCTGAGTCATGTTCTGCAGATATATAGGAGAGTTAAACGTGGTAATCTTTCATTTTTAAGCTTTGTAACTGCGTCTCCTTCACGCATGTAGAAATGTTGAGACCTCTGCATATGTCAAAGAACCCCTTTAAAATACGGTGCTCATTAGCTCCGCAAGAAGCTGGGAAAAAGGAAAAATCAGTACAAGTGTTATTTGGGGGTGGGTAAAATCCGTAAAACACAAGTCGGACACTGCCCGTGGTGTTTAATTGCTTCTACCACTACAAAAAGCAAGGGAATTCACTATCTTCCCTTGCAATTCCTAAAACCAAAATCGAAAACAGGCCAAAACACTTTTTCTTCAACGGCGAGCACAGAATTTGACAACGTATAACTTCTTCCGCCTCCAGGCAACAAACCTATAACTTCGGTGAGCGGGCCTTCATCACGAAAGCCGCCTCCACCACGACCTACGCCGCCACGGCCACCTCTTCCGCTGCCACCATCTCGGCCCCGTCTAAATCCGCCGCCGCGACCACCCCTCGGAGGTCTCATCTTTCACCATTCACCAATAAGAAGATCTACAATAACGGCCCGTCTCGGGCTTAAAAAAATAATATATTTTTAAAAAATTAGACTTTCAAACTCTAATTTGATAGGTTTTGAAAAAATGAGTTTGAACTCATGCAACTCATTTAGATCAGTTGTTTTTTTTATTTTTAGAAAATAAACCATTTTTAATTTTTAAATTAAATTTTAAACTTTAAAATATATATTTATAATTTAAATTTAAAATTTTTATTATTTATTTTTAA